CCACTGAGAGGGTACAGTTTTAAAGAAAACCAAAGATTCTCTCGTTCTATTACGCAGGTGGATGAACAAGCTGATTGAAAGTATCAGTTCTGTAAATCCTTTGTTTGTTGACCAAGTTGAGTTTTCAACACTTCTGACAACGCAGGTGGAAAACCTACACGATGCATGCATGCACGTTCRCAATTCAAGCATAATGAAAACATTCAGTGTTTTAAACTACGCCCAAGACTTTGGAACCACAGCAAAAGAATCGCTTAAAATTAAAGAATTACTAGGTGGGCCAGGGATGAACCAGGGATCTTGCAGGGGAGGTGCACAGGCAATGATTTGTTATCGTCAACCGCCATGATGGAGGCAATGACGTAACATGCACCTGCTCTGTTGCCGAGTCTGTACTAATATAAACCTGTTTTTGTCGTAGAAATTAATACTTTTATTTGTATTTTCTTGTAATATAAATTTGCAATCTCAAAGTCAAACTCTTTGGTTAAAATGTTTATCATAATTTAACTGTAACCCACATATAAGAAAGTGCTTGATCTTGCATGGCTAAACAGGTTATCAAAATGGCRTATTTCTGCCAGCAGGTTAAGTCTTAAACCACTAGGTATTTACACGCGGGTTTTAACTGTATTTAATGACAACCAAACTCATTTAGGCTATTTTTCGCTATTTATTTTAATCTTTCATGCATAATATTGAATTAAGGACCTTGTTTTGAAAACATCCCTTTCAGCGTAAAATACCGTTATTTTCATGCAATATCACGTTGACTATGCAGTGAACCAATCAGAATGCTTCAGCACAAATATCAATGACCAGTTATAATGCTTGATCACGACACACAGCAAGCAGTGTCGGAGTTCAGCAATTTAAACACGTCTAGTTTTCTATCCTGATCATTCCATCATTTGGTATTCACGGTTTAGCAAAGATGACACTAAATATTCAGTTTCCATACTTCTTGATGATAATGTCTTTTTCCTTGTTTCTGCTGGATATATCGGGTGAGTAAGAGTTTGTATCGAGTTTCTTTTTTAGCTGCTGAAGTTCATAGAATATTTTATTTTATCTTATTTTAGTTGGTTTTACAGGACCTTCTTGAAAATCACTATAGTGAAGAAGCATCCTGCTTAAAAGTATTAT